ATATATATATATATATATATATCACGCTACACGCACCGTGTACGTGGTGTGTGTGTGGGGTGGTAGGGGTTAGGGTTAGGGTAGGGGTTCAGGGTGAGGTATATAAGTATATACCCTAAACCCTATATATCTCTATATATAACTATATTCAGGGTTTAGGGTATATATTATATTCTAGGGTTAGGTATATATATATATACGCCTCACCCTAACCCGCTAACCCTAACCCTAACTCCTACCCTAACACACACACACTCGACGTACACGCGTGCGTGCAGGTACACCGGTGCGTGCACGTACACGCAATGCGTCGCCATACACCACGTGCTGCACAGTACACGCAATGCGTGCGCGTACACGCATGCGTGCGCATACACGCATGCGTGCGCATACACGCGTGCGTGCGGCATTACACGCGTGGATGCACTTACAACGCAATGCGTGCGCGTAGCACGGCAATGCGCGCACGGTACACGCGTGGCGTGCACATACAGCGTTCGCGTGCACATACACGCGTCACCAGCACATACAGCACGTCGCGCACGTACACACGTATGCTCGCACATACACATGCACGCATGCGTCATGTGCACTGTCTGCACGGTCAGAATACACTCACGGCACCTATTGTACCATGCGCGCAGGTAACGCGCCCGTGTATCGTACACGGCATGCGCGCGTGCACCATAGGAGCTCGGCTGCACGCATCTTTGACAAACGCAATCTCTCGTAGCAACAGCCGGCATCCTGTGATCGTGACTGTGCACGAGTCTGCGCCTGTGCGTGCGAACCTCCGGCTTATTTAGCACAGAGATCCGTGTTAGCTTCCTTGGCCTGACCCGCAAGAGTTGTTCATTACATATCTGTGAGTTCCTGTCTGTACGGCAGCGGGATGTGCTATCGTCGTGCATCGTAGTTGTTATTGTTGTTGTTTGTGTTGTCTTGGTTCTGGCTGTTTCTTGGTTGGCGCGGCAACGAGAGGAGAACAGGAGAAGAGAAGGACTGTTGGGGAGCGGATGCGGATCAGCGAGTGGGATTTAGGAGAGCGGTGCGGAGCATGATTATGGCTTGGATTTACGGTTGCATACTCTGTCCTCGAGTCCGTCGTTTTCCCTCTCTAGAAGTTTGTGTACGCGCGTGTGTACTGGTCCTATACAATGTTACATGATTCTTATACAGATGTTCATCACGTCATTGTTTATACAATGATTATCACGATTCTTATACATGTTAGCCACAATTCTTAAGATGGGCACCACGATTGTATACACATGTACGTTATACAATCAGGACATGCACCTGGCGTAGTAAGGGGGGCACAAGGGCCATGCCCCCCCCCCCCTGTTGATTGGAAAACAAAAACAAATTTTTTTTTTTCCTGCCTCATCACGTGTCTTCACAGGACTGGCCACAATTCCTGTTACTTCTGCATCTGCTGAACGAACTTCTCTAACATGAGGCATTGTCAAGTCTAAACTTCGTTCTACAATGACCCAGCCACGATTCTGCTGGCTCTCATTCTCCTTTCGTTGAACAGGAGTTAGTGAATGCACATTATGTCAACGAAATCCTCAAAATCGACGAGAAGACTTGACTTGGATTTTGAGATTTTCTGCAGCAGAACAAAAACCATGACTAAAGAAGAGATAAATTCCTTACTTTGCTTCAGCATTTGTGTTGTTGCAAGTTCGGCTTTGATTGAATTTTATGGTTCTGAACTCTATTGACAGAAGAAAAGAAAATGAAAATGCTTTGTGAATAACTTGATATATCTCGAACTTATAGACGGCCATATTTGCGCAGAACCACTCGTTTTTATTTCAATCCGATTTCAAAACTATTTTAAGTAACTGTTCTCATATCACGGGAGGCAAAAAAATTCTTTTCATGGTAAATTTCCCTTTTTCATTTAATAGAAGGCGGCTATGTTGGCAGCTACTTTTGTTTTTATTTGAAACTCAAATTTAATATGGTTTTCAGTTCTTCATCAGGAGGAAAGGCAAAAGACATTTTTTTAATAACACGAACAAAATGTTAAATGTGATCTTTAACGCAAATTGTATTCTAAACGATGTAATCTTTGTAATTTAAATAAATTGCAAGTTTATTCAGTGCAGTTCCAACACATCTACTGTTCATTTCCTCGTAGACTCTTATTTTCGATTATATTCAATATGCCTCTAACTTTTTCAAAAATAATTAACTTTTAACTTTTTATATAGGGACTTAAGCAGTTTGACGAAATGAACATTGCATGGTACTGCTAAAAAGACAAATCAAACTAATTCCAACTATTCGCGTAGTGATTGAATGAGGACATAGGCGTAGCTAGGGGGGTACAGGAGGCCATGAACCCCTCTGATCGGAGAGTACAAAATTAAGAGAAGAAGGGCCCTGATCGGGATTGGCCTATACCCCTATACCCTTACACCTATAATGAAAATGAAATGCGCAACGAAATGCCATTGATGCACATATTTTCAACAATTACTCTAACTGTGGAGGGGAACACCCTCACCCGCCTTGAAAATTGCTTCACACCATCGCTGTCTTTGGTCGCTTAACTCTTTCTCGTCTCTCCCTGAAAAAACACCTGGCTTCGTGCCCATTGTTCACTGGTCTAATAGCTCAGTCGGACCCACTGTCGTGTGGTAACCTCGAGCCTTCCGGCGCACAGCCAGGGGCCAATCGTCCACGTTGATCGCATCGAGTGAAAAAAAAAAAGCGAGGAGGCGGGGTTATAGAGGGATTTAGCATAAATGCCACTTCTCATATAAGTACCCTAATAACTCGAATTTTAGTGTGCAGAACAATGCCATTTTCATGCACGAATTCTTCAAAAATCTCCCTACCGTGAGGGGGATACCACCTCACCGCCACACCCACCCCCTTTTATTTTGATTAAATATTTCGTTCATGCATCGTCACTTCAGAATATACCGTTGAGCCGGGCCGCTGAAGGCATGCATGCAACGTGTGTGTGTTGTGTGTGTTTTGTAGTGTTGTGCGTGGCGTGCGTACTGCGTGTGTTGTCTGCTGTGTGAGTGTGTACAGTGTGTACAGTGTGTGTGTGTGTGTGTGTTGTGTGTGTGTGTGTGTGTGTGCGCGCGCGCGCGTGTGTGTGTGTGTGTGTGTGTGTGTGTGTGTGTGTGTGTGTGTGTGTGTTCGTGTGTGTGTGGGACGTTGTTCATAAGCGTTTTATTTAAGCTTGTTACCTGTAATTAATTCTTGATATATAATCACCAAATGGAAATATATTATAACTAGAGCACTCAGAGAGCACAGACCTCCGCCAAGGCAGCTCAATTTTCTTACTGTGAAAATTTTTATTAATTAATTAATTAATTAAATAATTATTTGGATCCGGATCACGACCAAAATGTAATCAATTCTAAGTTACCCCATTTCTAACCTATCCTAAAAATTTAATTAATTAATTAATTGGATCCGGATCACCACCAAAATGTAATCAATTCTAAGTTAGCCAATTTCTGACCTATCCTGAAAATGTTATTAATTGATCCGGATGACCACCAAAATCTCATCAATGCTAAGTTAGCCCATTTCTGACCTATCCTGAAAATTTTATGACAATCCGTCCATAACTTTTTTAGTTAGGCTGTACACAAACCCACAAACCCACAAACCCACAAACCAACAAACAGTCAAACACACGCCGGTGAAAACATAACCTCCTGCCAACCTCTTGGCGGAGGTAATAAAGTGTATATAAACGGCGCTCAAACACGGAAAACATTTTGCTCCTACTATTGATTGCTTTCGTTCATACTTCCCGCTGTTACTTTTGTTTGAATATAATATGTTAATGTAGATTAGTTTTGCTACAACATGGAGAGACGAAACTATATAATAATTGATTCATAAATTAATTTTGCGATGCAGATCTGAATAATTTTAAGAAAGCTGCGCATATTCATTTGCTTCGTGGTAGGCCTATGAACAGAAAACCGTGATTCTTTAATATTAAAACGGCATTCCCATATATCGGTAAGTGTAGCTAATCAAAGAAGGGGGTGCTGTGCAACTTTGCACATATATTTTTTTTATCAGATAGACTCAACACAAAAGCTGCCTAGCTTGTTCAATCCTTGCATGCAGTACCTACAGAGAGTTGTCGCGAATTTTCAAATTACCCATAATGCAACGACGGCGGCCATGCTGGTAGTCAGTACTAGTTATTCTTGGTCTAAGGTACTAGTTCAGTCATTGTACAAGTACATGGCCCAATGCACTGTTCTCCGCTCATTGTATTCGCAAATCCATCACAACGCCGTTCTCATGCGGTGTTGTCACTTGCAGCAATCGGTATCAGCTAGCGAGAGTGCCACACAGCTGTTTTAGGCTGCCTAGCGTGATAGTCCGGCAGAAAAGATGGCTTTTTTGCTTGAACCTTGCAATTGGGTATATAGTTTTTTTTATTGCTCTAAAAGTTTGCCTTCATAGTCTACTTCAATGATCTACCAACTGTCACTCTGGCAGTGGTGGGGAATTTACTCTACACATCCTTTACTAGCTGCAGGTATACCCGCTGCGCTGCAAAATCGTGCTACTAATTCATACCACTAATAATCGGACACAATAGGAACATTGGGTAAAAATGGAGAATAACATTGCACACAATTTCAATATTTACAAATCAGTCTAATAAGATAATAAGCATGGTAAAAAACTGTTACGTATGACATTTATATCACAGCACAACCCAACTTATTGCGCGTTCACACGTAGCAACATCCACGGTTCGTACGCGTACGAAACAGAGTTTCGTACGTACTCGCAATAAATTTCCCTCGTCTGAACGACCACGTATAGCTATACTCAGTTCGAAACGCGTATCACTATCCTGACAAAAGGAGTGCGTTTCCTACGTACTTCGTATAGCTATACGCGTATAGCGGACGTGTGAACGACCGGCTATAGATAATATACGTGTATACGCATCACGCTTTGTGGGCGAGAGAAAGAGAGATAAAACTCACCGGAGAGGCAACACAATAGTATCGCTGCCCCGAGCAGGGCTGCCCGTGCGGTTTTCATCTTCGGGCGTAGCTTCAACAAGCTGTCACGAGGCCACCGGCGTGATATTGTGCGAGAAAATGGCAGCTCGTGGGAACAAACATAGCATAAATTAAATTTTGCTCTAACGGTTGTATGGTTCCTGTCGGCATATGTTAGTGCGCAATGTCTTCACTAGTTCGTCAAGCGTACAGATAAGCAGAATCAACCTACGCGTACAAATAAAGGCATGGTTGACGGGCACTACGCAGTCGAAGCGCAAACAACGTAAAAAACTCGTATATTCCATCAAGTAAAACAACCGGATAGTGAAATGACTGTCCCGCCCAAATTTTATATGCTGTTGAACTTCGTCGTCTACAGCCCAAATTCCTGCATTTCCTACACATATAAGGACCCCCCCCCCCACCACACACACACACATACACAAATATGACTCACGTATTTACCCATGCACTCACGTACGTACGCACCCACGCACACGTACACACGCACATCCTTTCACCAAAATTAACTCGTTGTATACGCATAATAATCAGCGAGTATACCAGAGCCTAATTATTATGTAACATAGTTACTGTGATGAAATCAAAAGAAATTGGTATAATAATCAAATTTTAGTATGGTATATTGGGAGGGAGTTGATTCGATACACTGTTATCAGTTACCCTACTTTACAAAGAGTCAAGTTGTATGTAAGCGCAGCAAAAGCAAACAGTTCGCGATTTAACTTACATTAGGAAAACCGTGCGTGCAGTTGACGTGTTATATGCTAGTTTATTTCAGGTTTAACCGGTAGATGGCGCTGCGCGCTCGCTAGAGGCAGAGCAACCTAAAAACCAAGGCCTAAAAAACAGGGTTTCCTGCTGGCTATGTGACGGGATAGACAAACACGGATCGCGCCCTACTGTCTGTCTCTTTGCATTGCCCCAAGCTGTCTGTGTCTAGCTATCTATATATCTATCTCACTGTAACCTTATCCCATGCACTGTTCATCTCTCTGCTACCATTCTCTCTTTCTCTCCCTACCCCATTTCCGTTTCCCTCCTATTTAACTTTGTGTTCCTGCCCTGTCTTCATTACCCTATCCCCATTATTCACACTTTCTTTTTCACCACTCCTCTCTCTTTGCCCGCCAAATTCCTCCCCGTATTTCACTATTATTCCCCACCTCTCTCCCATTCTTTCTATCATCGTCTGCCCTCATTCGGCCAATATCAAAATTTGCGTTGATGTGAAATTGGTCTCGCAGGTTATATTCTCGTATCCCCTCACTGTGTCAGTGAGATATTGTAATAGAAATCACTTACACAAGACTATTCGCTGATCGCTGGCATCCTCATCTGTATGAATTCAACAAAATACGCTTTTTTTTTTTAATTCCAAAATATTATCCCAGATATAATATCAGGAGTCTATCAATCCATCCATCCATCCATGCATGCATCCATGCATCCATCCATGCATCGATCCATCAATCCATGCATGCATCCATCCATCTATCCATTCATCCATCCATCCATCCATCCATCCATCCATCCATCCATCCATCCATCCATCCATCCATCCATCCATCCATCCATCCATCCATCCATCCAT